AGCTGCGGGCCACAGGCCGCCTCTGCCCCGGCCAGATGTGCAGGGGAGGCATCTCTGCGAGAGGCTGCAGCGCGAAGCCGCCCTTGGCCACGAGCGCGAGGAGCGCACGGGCCACCTGAACCACGAGCCCAGCGGTGCCCACGCACAGCCTCCGATCACACCGACCGCATCGCGCGTGAAACCGCTGCTGCTCTTCTGGGCGCCACCAGCTGCTGCGGCGTAAATCACCCTACACAGAAGCCCGTTGATTTTATGAAGCATGTGACAGGGAATGCGCGCAGCAACCGCTTTCCCCAACTTCAGTTGTTTGCTGCTGGTGGGGCTTTAATCCCATTTTCTGGAAGCGTCATGAACTTCAGAAGCGGCGGGAGCAAAACAGCGAGCTGAGCCACGAGCGGCCGCGCCGCCCCGTCCGCCCACCCCGACGACGGCCTCGTCCTGACCGTGCACCAACGCACTGCGAGCAGCGCATGAAGAGCTCTCCCAGGATGCGACTGACAGGACTGAACTCGTCCACTGGGGACCTGCACAGGCTTGACAGGCACATTCTTTCTTCCCAGAAACACGCAGGCAGGTTTGGGATATTACATCTCAGGCAGTTCAGGCCATATTAGGTTTTAATTTGGTTTCGATAGCTGTTACCAGCCCTAGAAGGGCATCCAGTTGCACAGGACTTTAGCAAACAGCAACATGAGCTGAGATGCCAACTTAAGGGCAATCTAAAAGTTACAAAATGCCTCAAAAGAGCAGGTCCAATAGAGTCACCCAGTCTTAGCCACTGCAGGTCACAGCTACTTCCACACCCCAGCAAATCCCTTCGCCACTAACGCTCGTGTTAATGTGGCAGTGGGCTTTTTTCTTTTTCCTCCCCAGTTAGACGTAGCAAATTAGTGACTCTGGCAAAATGCCTCAAAAACGCAACCCATAATCCTGTGACTCATCCATGTTTACAGCTTTGTATTTTTCCACTGTGCAGAAGCGATTCCCTGGAACTGAAGGCGCACGTGTGGCACACGTGCCACCTGGGCTCCAGTTCTTCAGGTCTCTCCCTCCGTCGAGACCTGGTCGCTCTCTCCCTTTTCCTTTGGCACAGCTCCTCTCCTATCCCTACTTTTGCCCAGGGGACGTGAGTGAACCCAACACACATTGCAATGCTGAAAGAGAACAGCCCGTCGCTGCCTTATGGCAACACATCCTAGGCCAAAACTGTCCCTTGGGAACAACAAAGTTGCTCCTTGTTCTGCTGCCTTGATCACGGCCGCTCCCTGGGGCTCTCTCTGCGTAGGAAGAGCAGTGACCAGAAACAAAAGCTCTTCACAACACGCAGCCCTTCTCCATTCTGGGCCTGCAGCTCCCAGCTCCCGCTCAGCGGAGCGGACGAGGGCAGTGGCAGGAGCCTCCCAGGGGTGCCCACATCCCCGGGGCTGCCCCCACACCGCAGGGCCGCCGCGTGTGCTCGCGGCCTCGCCGCTCCCCGTGCCGAGGCCGGCACGCGACGC